AGTGGAGCCATGTCGAGTATGGCCCTCACCTTGTCTTTGTTCACCTCCATTCCCTGCTCCGTGATGACATATCCCGAAAATCGCCCCGCCTTTACTCCAAAGGCACACTTGCTCGGGTTCAACTTCATCCCAAACGTCCTAAGGGTGTTTAAAGTTTCCCTTAAGTCGTCTGGGTGTGAAGTCGAGGACTTGCTCTTCACCAGGATATCGTCAACGTATACTTCCATATTTCGGCCGATCTGGGGTTTGAACATTCGATCCATCAGCCGCTGGTAGGTTGCTCCCGCATTTTTTAGGCCAAAGGGTCCCCTTACTCGTCACGAAGCTCACTTTACTTTGATCCTCCTGAGCCAGAGGGATTTGGTGGTATCCTTGAGATGCGTCCATCATGCTCAGCAACTCGCAACCAGCTGTGGAGTCGACTAGCTGGTCGATTCTAGGCAAAGGATAATGATCTTTAGGGCACGCCAGGTTTAAGTCACGAAAGTCGATGCACATACGCCATTTGTTCAATGCCTTCCTCACTATCACTGTGTTAGATATCCATTCGGGGAATTGGATTTCCATGATATGTTTGGCCTTTAGCAATTAGTCCACCTCGACTTCGATCGCTTTGTCGATTTCAGCGCCATGGTGCCTGAGTCGTTGCTTCACGGGTTTCCTGAGGGGGTCAACATTGAGTTTGTGCTCCATAACATCAGGGTCGATTCCCGTCAACTCTTCAGGAGAGAAAGCGAATATGTCCTTGAATTCCTCCAGCAATCCCACTAACTGTTCCCGCAACTCGTCCTCCAACTCTCTCCCGACTTTGGTGGTTTGGTCTTTTGATTCTTCGATTTGAATTTCCATAAACTCCCCATGGGGCTCAAGGTCACTCCCTCTCGGCCTCTTTTCGCTCGTCATTGGTTTCTTGCCTTCTTTGACCTCGGCTCGCTGGTTAGTTTTGACCGCGATCTGGTAACACGTTCTCGACAACTTTTGATCCCCTCGAGCCTCTCCCACTCGATCTCCTACGGGAAACTTCAGCTTCATGTGATAGGTCGACACGACTGCTTGGAAGGCATTGAGTGCCGGCCTTCCAAGAATCACGTTGTAAGCCGACTCGACGTCGACCACCGCAAATCTCACCATTTTTACTTTCCTCAAGTCGCCCTCCCCCAAGACGACAGCGAGCGTGGTTTCCCCAGGGGAGCGACTTCCGAAACATTGAATCCAAAGAGTGATGTATGTAGAGGCGTAAGTTCGATGTCTAGCTCCATCCTTCTGAGGCATTCATAGAAAATCACGTTTATGGAACTTCCGGTGTCGATAAACACCCTTTGCACCTCATATCCCGATATCTGTGCAGTTATCATCAGGGCATTATTATGTGGTCTCTCGACTTCACCAACGTCCGCAGGTCCAAAGTTCATCACTGGTCCACTCTCGTCAACCTGCTGCACCTCGACTTTTGCATATCGGCCTCGAGCATAGGCCTTTCTTGCTCGATTAGAATCTCCATCAGTCGACCCTCCAAAAATCATGTTAATTACTGCTCTTTTTGGTGGGAGTTCCTCCTTTTTTGGTGATCTCGCCCTCTTGCGAGGACTCTTACTTCTTTCTCTTCTCCTGCTCGACCTCTCACGATCTTTGTATATGAACTCCTTCAAGTGGCCCGCCTTTATCAACCTCTCAATCTCGTCTTTCAAGTGTCGGCAGTCGTCAGTGTTGTGCCCGTAATCTTTGTGGAATCGACAATATAAGTTGCTTTTGGGTTTCATGGGTCCGTCCTTCCTCGTCCGCGGCCATCTCACCACATCGTCGTGTATTTCCCTTTCAATTACTTCTAGAATTCTCGCGTGAGGAGCCGACAGGGGTGTGTACTGAGTCGGTCTCCATCCCCTAGATCGGCCTTCACCCCTATCAGCTCTCGGTGATCCCCTTCTATCTCCTGTCGATTGGCCCTTCTTTTCATTCTTGTCGTCTCGACTGTCAGTTTGGGACATTTTCACATTTTGCAAATAATCGGCTTCGGCCTCCTCGACATTCATATATTTGGCACATCTTCCCAACACGTCATCGAAACTCCTACCAGGTCGCTTGGCCAAAGAGTTCTTACATAACCCTGGTAGTAGCCCTCTCGTCAATCCCCCTGATTTGATTTCCTCTGTTGCCGTTGGGCACTCGACGCACGCCTTTGTAAACCTTGCCACATACTCTCGCAACGACTCGCCCTTCTTCTGCTGCATGCTAATCAACGATAGGTAAGACTTCTCTTGCACCCTTACACTTGCGAATTGGTTAAGAAAACTCGAGCTAAAGCCATCAAAATCTCTAATCGACCCAGCGGGCAGTTGGTGAAACCAGTCCTGGGTCGACCCTGTTAGAGTCGTCAAGAAGGCGCGGCATTGCACTGGGTCGCTGTAGCGGTGGAGCACCGTCATGTTCTCAAAACTTCTCAGATGTTGAGACGGGTCCGTGGAACCGTCATACCATATGTTCAACTCCCTAAAGCCTTTGGGTAAGTCGGCTCTCAGGATCTGCTGCGAGAATGGGTGTTCTTTTGCTCCTCTGCTCTTCTTCCCACCGACTCGAGCTTGCAAGTCGCGAACCTGTGCCAGTAGTTGTTCTAACGTCTCGTCCCTCGCTTGTGGATTAATAGTTCGAACGGAGGATTCTTCCTCGTCCACCCTTCTGTTCTATTGTACGTTTGACTGGGCTTGTTGCTCGCCACGCGGGTGCTGCTCGACTCGATGCGGGTACTCGACACGGGGCTGCTGCTCGACCCGGGGTGGGTACTCGACTAGAGGCTGCTGCTCGACCTGCGCCATCTGCTTCATCGGGGCAGCCACGGCTTTAGCAATCATCTTTTGCATTTCACTCCTTGTTATTGTTAAGGTCTGCTCCTCGACACGGGGTTGGGTCTGCTCCGGTACCTCCTGTATCTGTTTTCCCTCGCGTCGAGACATCTCTGCTGGTTTCTTCTCTCCATCCGGGTTAGGGCTTTGACTTGTCCCTGCCTGGGTCAACACTTGCTACTTTACTCCAGTCGGAGTGACAGGAGTTTCTCCGCCCAACGTCAGTCCTGGTTGTGGAGGTCCTCCAAATGGTGGCATCCCCATCATCTGCATCACTGGGCGTTTGGTGGTGGAGAGTGGTGGTGGCCTCTTGTCCATCCACGCCCCTCTGAACTCCTCGTTCAAATTTCTCTGCAAGCCTTCCCTCTCCGCCATCAGCAAACAGATCGGAGCTGGGTGTGAAGCTCTTTCTTCCTTCAAGAACTCCCCACAGACGGCGCCAATATGATGGGTCTACTTCCAGATCTGGAGTAAACCGGTGGATGTGAGCTCAGATCTGCTTGAACCGCTTCCAAATCGTTGCTAGACCGCGGGATACCTGCAAAAACTCAACGCCGGAGGTGTTTCCGACGTAGAGCCTCCGACGCTCAAGTCAGTATGAGAGTGATGAAGAGATGCTGCGCAGCAGCTATGGGGGAGAATGGGAATGAATGAGAGTTAGGGTTTGGGGTTACCTCATCTCCTTTATATAGGAGTGAATACTTACTTGAAGTGCCCAAAATGCCCAAGTCGGTGGACCTAGAAGGTCCAAAATGCCCTGGTCGATTCATCTGCTGAGTCATCACAAGATTCCTTCTTATCCTTTATAATATGTGGAACTTCAAGTATGCTACAAATGTGATGAGTCGTCATCACATCTCTACTATTCGAGGTGTGCGGGGTCGACTTCGAGAGCTAGGAGGTCGACTTATGGGTATGTGCGGATTTGGAGGCTACGCTTGGATGACTCTCTGGGGTGAAGTCGTCTTCAGAGAGTCATTTTAGTTGAGTCGACTACTGGGAGTCAACTTAGGATATCGGGATGCTCGGGCGTTATGCTCTTGCTGTTCTTCTTCCATTGATGTCGACTAGTGAAAGTCGATAGACTAAGGTCGACTTGCGAGAGTCGACTAGACCAGTTTCTGTCTCTTCTCGGTTGCTCTTGGTGGAATTGACTTTAGGGAAGTCGATTTGGGCATGTCGACGGGGTCATGTCGACATGCGAGTTGTCCGAGCGGTTCACCGGTCGAGTAGGGAGCCTCTGGACCGGGTTATCCTTATGTGGCTATATCACATTTTATGTCTTAAATTCATGAACATGTATTTATAAATATGCGTGTGTTATGTATGTTTTCAGTTTAAAGCTTCCACTAGACTAAGTAGTGCGAAATTATCAGACTGCATGTATGTTTCACTATCGCCGTAATGTCTCGATGGGTTGTATGTCTTATTCAAGTCCGAAATAGTAAGCTAAGTAAGTTTTAGTAGCATCCTGCAATTAAGTAAGTATTTTCGAAAATAAACTCGCATGACATTTTAAAAATAAAAGCGAAAAATTTACTCTGATTTTTTTTTCAAAAGTCAAAGATAGTCAAGGGGGGGGGAGGGGGGGGTGTTACATCAATCATGTTAATGATTATCAAATTACATAATAGTTATTGACACCGAACGAATTAAATTTTTTATTTGAAATTTTATATTTTAGTCCGGCTTTGTTTTTTAAAATAACCGAAATAAATGAAACTACCGAATAATATAAAAACGTACTATTTATATTTTATACGTTTTTATGTACTGCAATTGCACATTAAGTCTATACGAATTGCACATTACTGTATATTAGATTGCACAATATCAAATGGTTTCGACCAAACTAACAATTTCAGTTCAAATTTTTAAATCTCGGTTCAATTGCCATTTTTTTTACTTTTAAAAGCTCGATTATGCCAGTTCTATATGGGATTTTTTTTATTTAGATAACCGAACAACCGAACTATGTAAAAACAAATTATTAATTTTATTATTATATTTTTAATGTAAATTATCACTAATTTTCAGCCACAAAAAATGATAAAATACTGAACACTAAATTGGAATATTAAAAACATTAATAATAGCTTGATTAGTTACAAATTCACCTATGAACCAAATTGTAATATCCAAAAATTGCTCAAAATAGCACATATGACCCTAAGACTTTTCAAATTCACTACAAGAGGTCCTTATCCTAAATCTGGAAAACACGCTCAACTAATCCTGCCATTTCATCTCGGCCGCCATCGAGGACCTCACACTGCGGCCGCCGGAGAACCTTCACTGACCAGAGACCACCTTTCCGATGTCAGGCGCCTCCATCATCAGACATTTCGATTTCACCGCGATGCTCGATGGTACTATTTCAGCGGCAGATATGGTGACAATGGCGACAGGGCTAGCCGGGAAGACGGCAGCGACGGGATGATACTTTGGCGGAGGCGAGGCCTGGTGTGCTCAATGGTCCGTCTAGGGTCCAACGGAAGATGGTTATTGTGTCGATTGGACCGGCAGAGGTCGAGGGACGAGATGGCGGCAACTGCGGCGGCGAACTGGTGGTCCGATGTGTGCGTGAATTGTTTGGTGTGTGCAGTGTGTGATGTGTATGTCTGTGTGCAGAGTGTGTGTGTTTTGAATGTGTGTTTGAGAGAGAGATGAAAGGGTGTGTGGGGCTGGGAGGAAGAAGACGTGGGGAGTTGTTTGTGGTGGGTCCCACTGGCAAGTGGCATTGTAACAAATAACATATTTGTCCTTAATAATGGTCAAATACATTTATTTGACCCTAATGTATCCACTTATTTACTATAACACCATCCCATGTTTGACTGCATTATTAATGTTTGACTTGATCTTGGCCTCCTGTGGTCTACAATTATTCTTATTTCTTTTACTATCTCCATTTCTCATATGATCCCTTCTATGTATACATATATATATAGGGTCGCACTCCGGTGAGAATGGTTCTCAATGAAAGAAATAATAATAAATCTGGACCACAAAATCTGATCATCCAATGGTTGTAATGAACTCAATTTTTTACGCTCATTAAGGGTATAAAAAGACAATTTATCATTGACATGTATCAAGTGGGCCCCATATCTCATTCAACATTGCCTTCTATGCACAAACACAACTCACACACACAGTACCTACAGTAACACACACAGTACTCTCAGTACACACACTTTCCCCTCGCACACACACACCCCCGCCGGTCCCCTGCCACCAGCCACCGCCGGTGCCACCGCTTTCAGCCTGCCATCGCCTTCCTCAACATTGACACGCACAAACACATGTCACGCACACACACTTCACGACACACACAATAGAACACACGAACCGCCGGTTCTCCCTCTCCGCTGTCGGAACCGCCGGTTCTCGCCATCCGCCATCAGAATCGCGGCCGCTGCACCTCCGTACGCCGCCTTCAACAACCCGATTACTGGTCCAATCAACGCGCCCTCCGCCCTCTACCTCCGGCAAATCCGCACAAAGAAAAATAGAAATTCCGGCTGCAATACAAATCACCGTCGTGCATATCCGACCTCGAGCGTATGGGGGCCGACCGCCCACGAAAAAACTCACCGACGCCGATTATTTGTTTTTACTTTTAAGATTTTGATTATCTCAGTGTATTGTCTACTTTATTGTTTAATATAGCCAAGCCGATCGAGCTATATAAAACATATTACTTTGTTACAAATATATATATATATATATATATATATTATAATCACGAAATAATATAAAATATTATATGAAAATATTAAAATACTAAATATATTTTTGTAATATAAATTATAAACTATTTAGATTATTTAGGTTAACTTAAGTAACCGATCAAATAAACTAAAAATTCGATTTTAGTTTGATTTGGGAAAAATCAACTAAAAAAATAGCTTCATTTTGAGTGCACACTAGTACTAGATCAATTGCACATTAGTGACTACTGAATTGCACTATAGTGACCAAAAAATCGACCTAGCCAAATTCGTGTATTCGAATTTTATATTTTGGTTTGATTATTTAATGTTACTTTTAAAATTTTAGTTCATTAACTAAAATATTAAAATATTAAATATATTTTTATATTATAAATCGATTACCTCGTTTTGTTTTGGTTTGGTGTGGGACGAATCATTAAAAACTATCTGAACATGAAGTGCACACTTGTATTAGATGTATTGCACATTAGTGACTGTCACATTGCACTATTTATTTATATATAAGAAGTATTAAAATAATAAATATATCTTTGTAATAATAAATTATTTCAATTATTTGGCTTAATTCGATCTACAATTATATCTAATAAATTTAGTTTTAAAAAATAAATATTTTATTTGTGATCATATAAAGTAGTGCACTTTATATATCAACACGCTGCACTTTATCAGACAACACGTCGCACTTTATAAAACAACAACTTGCACTTTATTACCACACTACATAATTAATGTCAACATCTCCCGCCAAAATATTACGCAATATAAATTTAAAAAACGAATCTACATAATACTTTAATATCCATTACATCATCTATCCACAGTAAATTATGCGAATCGATCGAATAATATTAGTTGGTTTAATGTCGGATTTAGTTTTTTTTTTATAAATAAATAAACATGCCGAGATATATTAAAAATATTATCGATATTTTATATATATATATATATATTTTTATTTTTTTTTATGAAACTAATATTTTTTATCTATATTTTTCATGTATTGTGAGTGGACATTAGAGTTATACGGATTGCACATAAATGTCTACCGGATTGTACAAAATCGAACGGAATACAACAAGCATAAATTGGGTACGAAATTTTATATTTTGGTTTGATTATTAANNANNANNANNANNANNANNANNANNANNANNANNANNANNANNANNANNANNA